TATGCAATATTTGTAAGTTGAATAAGTCAAAAATTCAGAGTTATGTAACATTAAGGAGTAGAATTTTATATTACATTTAGTTCAATTTAGCTACATTTATACTGTCTTACAGTTACATCTGGCCTTTGAGGGCAACCATTATGCTGATTTGGCCCTCAGTGGAAATGAGTTTGACACCCCTGATAAACGTTGGCTTCATCCCTTTTCTTAAGCTCTAGTTTGCAGTTAATCCGAATTTTATTCCAGGTCCTTATGTTTGAATTATATTCCCTCGTCTCCACGCAGCTTGCCTTTGCTTTGAGTTTCTAACTTTTGTTCCCAGGTCGACTCAGATTAAGACGTACTCGTGGGACAACGCCCAGGTGCTGCTCGTAGGAAACAAATGTGACATGGAGGATGAGCGGGTGGTGGGTGCAGACAGGGGCCGGCAGCTGTCCGAACATCTTGGTGAGTTCAAACACCTCAAACGTTTGATGGAAGCGTGCAAATTTTGCTCTGTTAGCGGTTTGTTTTATTATCCAGAACAGTTTTTTGTGTGTTCATCCCAAAATGACAACTCCTGTTAAATCTTATCACCCACAGCCGTACAATAATTGCATTTGTGTGTGTGTTCATTTGTCTGTGATCCAGTGGATAAGTTTAATGAAACGCTCAGAAACTGATCATTTGCTAAACATCTACAAATGATTAACGTTTGGAGTTGATCCCATTCAAGATGGCTGCCACAACTAATTAACCTTATGCACAAAATGACTATAACAATATATTTTACAGATGTTTTTTTTTTTAAGCTGCTCCCTTTGGGGTCACCACAGCGAGCGATCTCACACAAAAGATTTGGAAATTGCTTGACGTCGGATGCCTGACACAACCTGGGCTCAAACCTGCAACCTCAGAATTATAAGGCTGCGGCACTGAACAAAGCAGCCCCCAATCAATATAGTTTAAGCATATAGAGCTAAAGTCTATTGTGGTAGCAGCTGAGACTGATCCCCACCACATACTTTGAACGTCAACCGATAACACAAGACGTTTGTATAAAACAAATAAAACCGATATTCATTCAAGGAACACTAGTTGTATTCCTGGTCTGTTGGATTAAATCATGAGATTTTCTTCAGTCTCACAGGTTATTAAGTCTGAAGTTGTTTTATCATACTTTGAAGAAACATATTTGCTGAAGCTATGGGGATTTATTTATTTTTTGGTCACCTTGCAAGTTTAGTGCATTCTAGCTCAGTTTAAACAGTCAGAGAGAGCAATTAGGGAAACTGTGACAGTAAACTCATGAAACCAAATCAAGTATATGGTTTACAAAAATCCACCAACTCGCAGTAAACACAACCAGGAGAAGGTAATAAGCATGGTAGTCTTCTGAAACAGGCTTTGGAGGTGGAGCTGAAGCACAGCAGAGAGGGAGCGAGAGGAACCAGTTGTTAGTATTTGTTTAAAGTTTAAAGTCCACCTGCTTTTCATTGTTACTATTCATGCTAAAGGAGGTGGTGCAGCTTGAATAGTATGGATTACAGGGAGAGTGCTTGTGCAGGGGTGCCCAATACGTTGATTGCAATCTACTGGTCATCGCAAAGGCATTATGGGTAGATCAGATGGCTTTAAAAAATATAGACGTCAGGCTATCATCCATCCAAAGTATGAAATTTGTCACATGATTGACATACAGGGGAGACAGTCACAGCCCTCATTCTCTCAAATAAGGTCTCAGAGTGGAGATCTTTGGGGGAAATGTTTATATTTATCCATATTTTATCCCCCCCACCCCCCCACCCCCGGTGAAATTCTCTGTGTATGAAGTTGCAGCTGCAGTCAAAAGTTTTTCTGCACTAACATCAGTTGGCAAACAGCAAAGTGTTTTTTTGTGCTACTCACCATTTTTCAGCATGTAGGAGCGAAACTAATAAACTCCAGTTACAAAGAGACGTTCGTGTATTCACCAGTTTGGAGCAGACGCTGCATGCGCGATGAACGCAGCTCAGGGTTGCCAGATAAACTTAAAATGTCTTATTTATCCTCTTATTTTCTGTGCACATGTTCAACAAACACAACACACGCCTCATCTTAGAATATCTTTACTCAGCACATATGACAGTTCAGGTCAAAATACTAACATTTTAAAGCAGTAGTTCATAATTTCTTATCTGGCAACCCAACTGACATGGAAACTACAGCGTTTTTCGTGTAATCCCGCTCATTTTTTGTTTATTACCCCCAATAAATATCGAAAAAACACAAACGTTTCCAGAGGGTGTTCTGTGTAAAAGGGTACTTATAGTAGGTAGATCACTTTGACTTTGTCATTTTAAAAGTAGCTCGCATGCTGAAAAAGTGTGGGCACCCCTGGCCTATAGGGTTCTATTTGGAGCTCGTGTTGCATCAAAACTCAGGGAAAATAACTAGAATATGTCCTCTGTGGACCAATAATAACAGCAGCAGACTCTGTATCAACCTTTCCAGTGAAATTATTTTTGTCTGACCAAACAAGCCTCTCCGACCCTCTCTTCCTGCTTCTCCTCCAGGTTTTGAGTTCTTTGAGGCCAGCGCTAAGGACAACATCAACGTGAAGCAGACCTTTGAGCGGCTCGTCGACATCATCTGTGAAAAGATGTCTGAGAGCCTGGATGCTGGGGATCCTGCCATTACAGGGGCCAAACAGGGGCCCCAGCTGACAGAGCAGCCCGCCCCTCCTCACCAGGACTGTGCATGTTAAAGCTGACTCTTTACCTTAACTCTTTCCCTGCTTTTATTCCCCTCCTTCAGCTGAGCTCCAGGTCTTTGGATCCTTAGGTTATAACTTTTTCCACTTCTGCTCCTGCTTATTTTTGCCATTTCATCTGTTGACAATAAGAGCCAGGCTGAAAAGGGTGTGAAATGCTGTGAGATGCAAGCGGTCACACATTTTAGAAGCGTTTGCATCTGGTTTTTTTGCGTTAAAGGAGCTGAAGGTGTTATTTTTATCTGCAAAGGGTTGGTCTGATACCAAATCAATAAAACCAGAGCATTTCAGACTCTTTACAGCTTGAGTTCATGCAGATGGTTTCCCTGATCTTCTGTGCGATTTAACAGAAAAGATTTGACGGCGTGCATCCTCAGAGTGCCATTGAAATCCTTCCAAAGTTTTCAGGTCTTCGTTTCATGTCAAACAGATGTCTTGAAAAGATAAAAAACAAGAATTTGGTGACCAAGAAGACTAACGATCTCACCAAAATATACCCGAAATCAGCGTGATGCATTTCAAATACGGCATTCCATTGAGTTATTTCCCCTGTTTAAACTTGAAAGCTTCAGGAATTGACAAGCGTTTTGTTTTTAATTGCTCAGCGGTGCATTTTTAGTCTGCCTTTCTATTTTTTTTTAGCATCGTTTCAGCAAACTTTTATTTTGTATTCTTCAGTTTTCTTCTTTCCTAAGACGGTGAGGGAGTAAAGAAAATAAACAAGCTATAGCAAGGAGACAAAGAGCAAAAACATGAAGACATTTTATTTAATTATATTTATTTCAAATGTACATATAGATGTTGTGCAATATATACATATATGTAATATCTACAGGTATGCACATCTGGAAATACATTTTAAAGGTATGATATTCTAAGAGGAAAGTATTAAATTTAAAATTAAAGTTCTGTGTTGTAGAGTTTGTCTGGATCTGTGCAAGCGGCTCCTCCTCAGAGAGTAAATATATTTCCTCGTCTGTTTCTCCTTTTAATGTTGCAATTCAAAAATTGGACTTTGGGTTTAGAAAAATCCCCTGACAGCGTCTGAACCGTGCTCTTAGTTTTATCGTCTGAATCGGAGCTGGTAGCCAAGACCTTAGAAGAACACTTATTTCAGAATAAAGTGTTTGTGTCGCGAGAGTTTAGGCCAGAAATGAGCTTAAAATAAAATTATTTGCAAAGTCTTTTTTTTATTATTATTTGAGCTTTTAGCTTCTCATTGATAGAGTGATCCAATCTTGTCATCGCTCTTGTCATTACTTTTCTAAATTAACGTGAAAAATAAAAAAAAAGAATAATTAAAAATAAATTGTTTTTCAGATTTCAGTGACTGAACCACGCGCGTGCACAAAGGTTTGACGGATCTCATGTCACCTTTATCATACACACTAAAAACCACTGGGTTAAAAACAAACCTATTTACGACCCAGCGGGGGTCAGATTTGAACCGACGTCCCTGGATAGTTTTAACTCAGCAGGGTTAAGTTCCAGCTCAAAAAACGGGTTCAAATGCTCAATTTAAGCTACAAAAACATTTAGTGAAGAAGAATAATCCAAATTAGATAATTAAAACTTGGGTAAGTGCTCGATAGCTGGCGCTAACTGCTATTAGCATCAGCTAATAAGCACCAATGTTATTTTAAGGAACCAAACGAATTGTCTTTTTTGTGTAAAGTGAAGCTTTTCAGGTTAAAGCAGAGGTTCAGTTTGGTCAGCATCAGGTTTAAAATGGCAAACTGAAGAAGCTTTGTTCACTTTCACATCCGGCCTGCGTGAAAGAACTTCAGGCTGGTGAGTTATGTTCACCTGCAGTGAAGAAAGTCGATCAGTCATTTCTGGATGTTGGAGGAAACGGGTCAAACAAGCCGAGCTTCTTTGCTTCATGACAAACATCGCTCGTGCTTACGCTTCCTCGGTATTCCAGAGCAGCTTTACAGACTCTTACAGGCGTCGTTCGTTTGTGTGAAGTGTTTGCTCGGATAAATCAGATGTGCAGAGCGTGAAACAGCTGGAGACGGAGTTTAATATTGTGCTGTGGAGTGTTCCTCTCTTTATAAAGTCAACAACGTGGCCCCGCAGAAAGTACTCCTGTTTTATTACATTTTTTTAAAGCGAAAATTTATTTATTTAAAGTTTTTTTTTCTTATTTTGACCTAAGAGTGGTTTCCTGTTTCCACCTTGCAAAGTCAAAATGAAAGATTTGATCAGTTTTCTGTCTTTAGAGTTGTACTAGAACAAGTTATCGATGGGGAAAAGGCTTTGAACTCATTTCAACCTGAACGCCGTTGTCTCGGTGGGAGCAAAACGACAAATGCCTTTGGGAAAGACGATACACCGTATGTGCAAAGCACTATAAAATTTTAAAAGTACAAAATAATCAAGGAGCTTGTAAAGTTAGAACTGTTTTATTTTAAGATGTAAAAAATTCCAAGCAAATATTTGGTCTAAGTCTCGCAGAATGAACCTCCTGTCAAATTTCCGTGGTTTTAACGCTGTGCACATTTTACTTTTTACTGGTTGTGACTGTTTTCTTTTCTGTTTTGATAAGATCCAACTCTTACAAACAGTTCTCCTTTCCAACATGTCTTCCTCTCCATCTGTAAATACCTTTAAGTGTGGATTGTGTTGTACTGACTCAGGCTTGCATCAAATATCAAGGAAACAAAACAAGAGGAGAAAAATAAAATAAAATGAAGACCTGAAATCCCTAAAAGAGCCACGTTCTGCTGTAGCTGCGTTGATTTCCCGGCCTGCTTGTGAATGAATGTGTCACTCGGTTATGAAGCAGCTCACACTACAGTATAAACCATGAAAAGTGACGCCATCGAGCTAGGCGAAGGTTGTAGAGCTTCACCGAGCACGCAGAAAACATGCAACTTCTTTTTGGTCTTGTATCACTGCCTCCTCAGATCCTTTCAGTTTGGGCCATTAATGTGAGAGAATATGCTGTGGGTGTTTTTATCTGTACTTTGTGGTAAAACAATAAAAACATGCTCAAAAAAATTACTGTTCATTTTTTTTTAAATTCTCAATCCAAAGCTTTTAATTAGAGACGCATCAAAGGATGTACGTCTGAGCCAACTTGATTCAAGACGGCTGCCACAATTACTTGACCTTCAAAACGCTTTTAACGCAAATAATTTCATAGTTAGAGTTAAAACTGGTGATCTTAGTGTAAACTGTGGCACGAAAGGCGGAGAGCAATGTACATTTATTCCAGCAACACCACCTTCCTAGATTAGTTGAACATTAAAAGCTGTGCTTTCTGTTAAAGTGGATGTTGTCAGCACAAAATGTTTGCATGGCTCCATTTACACTTTGACATTCTCTTTTGCTGACCTATAACCATAAAACACTCTTGCCACAGCTAATTTCAAGTCACGCAGACGTTGTCTAAACACGCAGAAGGTTAAAAACAGGATTGTTTTCTCTGCGTAGTTTAAAAAAAATCACTGCCTTCATAATAAGAATATGAGTTGTTTATTTAATTTAAGCTGTTTTAACAGAGCATTTATTTAAAGAAACAAAAAAATCACCAGTTTCCATCCTGTTATCCAGCTGTGGTTGCTGCAACTTCGAGTTTGACCAGCAGAGGGCGCCAGACACCAGGTTTAAAGATGGAAGCAGCTTTTTTTTAAATTTATTTATTTACTGTAGATGGAAGCAGCTTTTTTTATTTATTTATTTACTGTAGATGGAAGCAGCTTTGCACCCTGACTAAAGAAATGTGGTCAGAAATATCAGTGACGTCACAAACGATGTGTTATAATGAAAATATAAGATGTATGCCTAAAAGCTCTGATATATTTAACAGAACCACGTGGCATCCGTTTTTCTCAAACATCTGCTTTAAGCCACATGCACACAAATATGCCAGTGGCAATAACCAGAGGAAACTTGTGTATTTTTATTTTTTTTTTAATTGCCGAGCAGCATTTAATTCAGAACACAACGGCATAAAGCCAAAGAACTGTCAGGCTACAGGTGAAAGCAACAGTGTGCAACAGAAAGGTTAAAAACAAGAGCACGCTGAAATAGTGACACGGTTTAGAAAACAACAACAACAAAAAAGACAAAAACACAAAGTTTGATAATAAACACTGAATAACTGGTGCCCTTTGACCCCGAGCTGCAAGCAACATTCGAGTTTGTCAAAAACATGCAAATCTTTGCCTACAGAAACAGAGTAAATAGGTTACATGTGGATATTATGTCAAACATGTCACATGTGAGTGTAAATGCACTGTATTTCTTTACAGCCACCTCCTTGTACGCTGTGTTATGAACGTGCATAATCTTGTAGGGATTGTGTCTGTTTGGTCCAGCTTTGAGATTGCACGCACAGTCAGTAAACATTTTTACAGGAGAAAATCTGGAAATGCGTCTCATAATGTCATCAAGTGTATTTTTCTCCCAACAGCAAACGCACATACGAGGTAGAGCAGGATTAAAAATATCCAACATACTGAAGGCAACTGTTCTTTTTTTTTCTAATACAGTACATCAGTTGCTGATTTCTGTAAAAAATCCTCTGGAGAACAGTGATTTGTGGATAAATAATACAGATAATAACGATTCATCATTAGCCGATGACACTGCCAGAGTCCCAATATTCAGATTGTTGAATAATGTTCTGCCACATCTGTTTACATATCAACAATCCTGATGACGTTTTAAAAAAGCTGATTAGTAACGTAGAGTCTGGCCGACGTGGCTTGGCATTCATCCTGCAGAATGGCTCACCTCCAGGCTGCACTACCTTTAGATAAAGCAGCATGAAGAAAGTCTGTGGAGCTTATCTGCTGGTCGGTGGTCCGGCTGGAGGTCTAGTGCACCTGGACTTCGTGTGGCAGCAGCTGGCAGCCGCTGCTGACGTGGGTCAGGACTTTCTGCTTCAGCTGGTTCACCTGCTCCCGCAGCAGGCTGGCCGTGGACGTCAGGTCGGTGTTCTGGCTCTTCAGCGTTTTCACCTTGTCCTCCAGCCTGGAGATCCGCTCCAGTTTGCGCCGCCGACACTTGGAGGCTGCGATCCTGTTCCTGAGCCGCTTCCGCTCGGCTTTGATGCGCTCCTGCGTGTCCATGTCCACGGGGGACAGCGGCGGGCTGTCCCCGAAGCTCTGCACGTCGGGGACGGTCTGAGGCTCCTCCTTCTGGGGCTCGGGCTGCTGCAGCGCGGCTGCTCCCAGGTGGTGCGACGGCGGAGGCGGGAACGGGACCGTGTCCGTGGAGTAGTTGACCGTGGTCACCAGCGGGCCGCTTCCGTAACTGTTCAGGTTCGTGTAAACCGGCAGGTCCGGCTGCACGGGGACCGGAGCCACGTTAGCGCCGAGGTCCAGGCTGTTGCTCGTCTGACCCGTCCCGCTCAGCTGGTTCTGCTTGTGCAGGTCCTCCAGCGCCTTCACGAAGCCCTCCGCGAACTCCTGCTCATCCGTCACCGTCTTCGGGTAGAGGAACTGGGAGCTGGTCGGCGTCGTGGTGACCATCCCGTTGGACTGGATGATTAGCCGCTCCAGCTCCGGGGAGGCCAGCTTGAGCAGCCCCAGGTCCGGGGAGTTGAGGATGCTCTCAGCGTCGCGGAGGTGCGGTTTGAGCTCGGCGTCGTCCGCCAGGGTCAAGCTGATGTCCTTCTTCATCATTATTTCCACGTGTTGACGCTATCTCACAGCGACGTCCTGCCCATAACCTCAGAGAAACCGGCTGCGGTGCGAAAAACCTCCTGTTCCTGTTCCCGAGCACCGACGGAGGTTTCGCGCTGCCGAAACCGAGTGTTCGCTCGTGCGAACCGCCTCAGGCTTTTTTAGACTGCTACGTTCCATAGAGTTACGTCAGAGCACGCACGGTGGGCAGACGTTACGTTCTGGCTGAGCAGAGAAGAAGAAAAAGGAAGAGGTCTCACTCTGCTCTGTGTTTCAAAACCAGACCAATAAATGCATTTTTACTGACTTATTTTATTCTTCTGCGGCTGTTTTTTTTTTTTTCTTCCTTTTTTTCATTTGTTGTTGGTTTATGAAGATGACAATTCGGCATTGTCTACATTTGTAGTAAATTAAAAAAATATTTTTTGCATGTTATATCCTGATGCATGCTCAATAATCCAGGTAGAAAAATCCAAAAGAATTATATAGTTAGGGTCGGCTTGGGTTTCCTGAGCTGTCCCTTAGTTACGCTGCTAGCTTAGACTGCCGGAGGACAAACTGACCACATTTTTTTCACTCTACTACTGTCTTGACTTCCTCTGCTCAACCTGTTTTGTATTTGTAATTTTTTTTTTCTATCCTTGACATGTGTTTTTGTCTTTCAGGTACACCTGGACCTATATCTGGACCTACCATTCTGTGTTCATTTGTCTCTCCTTCCTGTCCTCTCAAACCAGCCGGTCAAAGCAGATGGCCGCTTGTCCTGAGCCTGGTTCTGCTGGAGGTTTCTTCCATTTAAAAAGGGAGTTTTTCCTTTCCACTGTTGCCATTGTGCTTGCTCAGGATGGGAGACTGCAACGAAGCCAAGATTCAACTTGTCTGCTGGATTCTATAGATAGAGAACTTCACTAATTGGCTTTTCTATGTATGTGAATGTTTCTGTAAAGTGCCCTGAGACAACTTTGTTGTGATTTGGCGCTATATAAATATACAGATTAGAATTGACAGTTTTAGAGTAACCTCTTCAAATCTAGCTAAAGTAACATTTCTAATAGTTTTGTTTATTTTATAAATCATAAATTTGCATTACTAAGACAGTCATAGGCACCAGGATCTCAACTGTGGACTATTGTTCTGCATCATTATCTTGGAAGTAAAATTTATGTTACTTTCATTCAGTTTTCTACCAGCAAAACATCCATTATCAGGCAAATGAAACAAAATACATGTAAACATATGATAGAAAAAAAAGCTAAACTAAAGTCACTAAATTTGATGTTGGTCAAAAATGAACGAGAGCTACAAAGGCATTGTGAAACGAGACCATCTCACTCTTGTCTTTCCTTTTCATCGGAAACTTTGGTTCATCCTATTGAGGGAAGGCTTTCTTGACACTTCAACCACAGGCTGACAGGTGGTGTTAGGGGTTTACCCAAAACACAACAAACATACCAATAACAAATACATCATCAACCACCCCAATCTGAAATTCAGTTGCTCAAACTACTATAAAAGTATTCATGCTGCCCTATACTCTCTCAAGGTCAAAAATGAACTGACTTTTTGCAGAGTTGTTCTTGTTTGAATAGACGATCTTTGGTCAGAGTTTTGTTGCCATGGAGAGGAGGAAAAGAGGACAAACACTGAGGAGCTAATGATGCCATGGTGAGTTTTGACTGTCCAAGTGTCTGAGCATATTTTCATGATCTTAAACAGAAAACAACTCCATGCAGATGAACAGTCTGTCAACTAAATAATCATAATTATTAATTCAGTTCAGGTTCAAACCAACTAACAACTAAAATTCAGTTCAGTTATTAAACAATCAATCAGCTTCATTATGCATAACATATAATATGGATACTTGTCTTTGTCTGGCTCATGATTCCACATGTAAAGATAATTTAATAAATAAACTTAAAAACATTGTGAAGTAATAAAAACAGAAAAGACTCATGGTATATTAAAACAAAAAAACATCACAGCAAGTAATGGGTGTCATTCTATGTGAGGCTCCGTTTAACGAGGACCCTGTTTAGGATGGTCAAGGCAGATGGAACAAATTAATTTTTGTACCTGTTCTTCTTTGTTATAGGATCCATCAATCTCCTCCCAGATGGCAGCAACTTGAATGATGATGCAGGAGATGGGATGAATCATAATCTTTCTGCCTTTTGCTCCAGAACCTGATTAAACGGTTGTGTGAGTTGCATTTCCTGATGTGCGATTATTTTACTAACCTGTTTGACAGCCCACAACAACTTGTTCCTGTCTCTGGACAGGAGCTGCTCATACCATGAGACCATGATAAAGGATGTAATACTTTCAACAGAGTCCTGTACATCAATTACTGTGTTTAGTGAGATGGAGATGAGGATACTGTCTGGCCTTTTTTTTTTTTTTTTTATGAACACAGATGACTAAGAGGTCAACATATTGTCAATAATTGTTTGAAGGTATTTAAAATCAGTCACCTTCTCCACTTCCTGCTCTTTGAGGATAAATGGCCAGAATGCAGGTCAGGTGCTAGCTGCTCCCAATTTACCTCTCAGGCAAAGTTCCCTGGTTTTACAGACATTAATATCCAGAAAACTGTGATACCAGACAGTTTATGAGTTGGTAGGAGTGTCTTTCAGACCAGCAGCCAGTGTCATATCATCAGCATATCTAATAAGTGAGAAGTCTGTTGTTATATCACAACTAATTTGTGTATAAGAATAGAAGTGGAGATAATACACAACCCTGTGGAACTCCAGTGTTCAGAGCTGTGCAACCCTATACAGTTTAGATATCAAGTTTAATATTATTCACGTGATTGGGACGGCACGGCATAACAAATTTATGAAAACAATACTTCAGACAGGCGTCACCAATATGTAGTTTTCTGTCAATAAGCTTACACTGTAACACACATCAAAAGAACTACACTACCCAGAAGCCAACAGTGCTTCCGAACGCTACTTTCTGGCACAATGGAGGGAAAGTTTTGCAGTGCAAAGTCTGAAGTAACAATCTATCCATTAAGTTCACATAACTAGGAGGAAAGTGCAAATAATCCTGAAGCTTCCTGAAGCTCAGTTATCCACGTGCACATGAACCTGGACGGGGCGTTGGGCTTCGTCGCTGCAGGCTAGGTCTGTTGAACCAGAACCAAGTCCGACTGGAACTGAGATGCTGTTCTGCAGAGCTGGTGAGTTAAATTTTGCAGTACTGTACAGTACATATATGTATGTTGTTAAAGTTATGTATTAGAACATTGCAAGAGTGTGGGAAGGGCTGATAAAGCCTTAATATTCATTCAACCTTTATTTAGACAGTATATATACACAAATACTACAATAAATATGGTGTTCCTACTTCCCGGTTTTTCACCCATCGTGGTGGTACGTGGAATGTGACCCTTTGTGATAATCAAGGGACTACTGCAGTCATAATTTAAAAAATGGGCTTAAAATTAATATATTACAGGACGTAACGTGTCACATTTTATTCAAAGATTGCATTTATATATTATTGTCCTGGAACTGAACAACTGAAAGAATGTAACACGTCTGTGTGTTCGGGGTTGACGCCGGCCCAGATATGACGGCTCACTTCTCCTTTGTGGCTTCAGGCAGGACGCCGTGTTTCTGGACATCAAACGTTTGGGGAAGTTAAATCTGGAACTGGTTTGATTTCAACATTTCCTCCGGTCAGTCGACGGGTTTTGGGTTTGATCTGGTCTAAGACCCAACAGCGATAACTGCAATTCCCCTCAAGAGTTTCTGTTTCACATTTCAGATTTTACAAATTCACTTTCCAGCTTTGAATCAACATTTAAATCGTTTTCACTTTAAATCGAAACATTAATTTTAAAGACTTTCGCTTACTTATTGGAAGCTTTTTGTTGGGTGCATTTTATGAGAGTGATTCCAAACCTTCTGACAGGTGTTGAATAAAGAACACACCCTTTTGCATACACTGGCTGTGCACACATACTTTAAATAGTAGTGAACTGATCCTTAGCTTGTACTGCACATTCCTCAAATAATAGGCGTTCCCTTAATTTATTCGTTTGTAATTCAATTCATTGTTTACCTCCTTTGTCGTGTGATTTGTGTTCTTGTATAAAACTGACATTTACAGAGCAGACACTGAACAAACGCTCACATCCTCCAGATGATCTATAGTCAAACACATGTGCCGTAACCGAGCGGTTGCTTTCATTCCTTCTCCAGCGTGTGGAGGAGGATTGTGCATCACAGGTAGGCCCCATTCATCACTGCAACGTGGAGGTGGATCACATGCTAGACCCTGTGATGTCATGTCTCTTAACACTGGCGGAAATGGAGGTGGTAATGTGTGTCGGGGGAAGAAGGGGGAGGTAACCAGCAGAGGAGAGATATTTTGGTCTAAAAGCTGTATATCCATGTAGAGGGAGTTGGGGGCGGGGAGTGAAGCTTTCAGGCTGTAGTTGGGAAAAGATGCTCGCTACACTCACAACATAATCTCTTTTTTTTCTTTAATTTGTAACAAATGACATAATTTTTCATTCAACCTTTATTTTAATCCCACTGAGACTCGGGGACTCTTACAAGCGAGACCTGATTTAAACAAAGAGTGATGACAACGGTGGACAATCATAAAAGAAAGCACACAAATCGAGAGCAGAAAACATGTCGAATGAGATTTATACATTTATTTTCCTATAAGGGATGTGTTTTTAATACAGCGTTTTAAGATCTGCAATGAAAAATTAATTAAATTCCCTCAGTCAGAATTAAATTACGCAACGTTCACTAATGTCTGTTGTGTAAGCCAACAATGTGGAACATTTAGGAAAAACGTTTGCAAAAACTGACATTCTGTTACTACATAACCATTAATGATACAGCTAAACGTTTATTTTTCACTCAACTTTGCTTTTAACGTATTTTCTATTCAGTTCTGAGAAAACACTTTAATCCACTCATCGTTGCTCATTATTCTGTTTCCAAGAAGCCAAATTCTAACAGTTTTTCCAAGATTTCTGAAAGCTTCTCAAAGCTTTTCTTCTGACCTTGGCTGCAGTTTTACCCAGTACTTGTACAGTATGAGATGGGGGCTGCGGTAGCTTGGTGGTCAGTGCTGTGATCTTGTAACCCTGAGGTTGTGGGTTCGAGCCCAGGTTGTGTCAGGAAAG